GTTGGCTCACCCTATATGGGAAACATTTCAAGTGGGAGAGGTTCACTGGTGGATGGCTCCAATTTAGACCCTCATGTTTGAAGAAAGCCAAATATGGCTTTAATTTATGTTGATGTAAAATATTTGTGGAAAAAATGTTTTAAGCATGTAATCTTTTAAATTGTAATAGAACTTATATGGACTATTGTTAAACTAACCTTGTATGTTTTGATATAAATATGGATGATTGGACCCGGTGTGGTCAAGTTTTACTTATAAATGGACCATGTGTGGTCATTGTGTTATATGGGGCCTCAGATGGGTCATGTTAATGTATATTGCATAGATTGTGTTTTGGGTAGAGCTCCCCGTACAAAGGAGACTCTGCCCGAATTTTATTAAATTAAGGACCTCGGTAAATGGGGCATAACGGTGTAATATTGAGTTACTCGGTATCCACGGGTTGATGGGTAATCAACGGACCTCCAGATTTTGAGGCGTCACATTAGTGATCACCCCCTTACAAACTACATTTTTCAGATTATGTACTGGAGGAGAATTTGGGAATTGAGGAACCGGCACACTGGGAGATTCCCGTAGACGGGCATGTTGATCCCGAGGTGGACGTTTAGAACAACATTACTTTTTATTCTAGACTAGGAAATTTACTTTGGAAATATTGTGAAGTTTAGACTCTTTTGTAATTCCGCTGCGAGTTTATGTTTAATTCTTTTGGGATGTAATTATCTTACTTTGGGATCATATTCTTTTGGGGATATATTTGTCATGTTTTGGCGTATTCTTTTGGGAACGAGATTGTAAAGATTACCTTTGATGTATGAAATTTCTTTATGGATGAATTATTTAGTTGCTCTCATGATGTGAATGATTTTTAGTTTGTAATGCCGTGCAGGGTGGGTTTTGGGGCGTTACATAACCTTATTCCTTAAAATGAGTTCTTAATAGAATAGAAAATATGATAATTGAAGAAAAAGAAGCTTCGTTGCAAGACCTTAAAAGTGAAATTAATCAAATTAAAGTTGAAATAGAAATAATAAAATAAAGACTTTTGACACTTGATAAAATGCCAATTAAAAATGGAGAAGTTACTAAAGAGTGTGAATATTTAAATGCATTAGAAAGAATAACTTATCAAAAATAGTATGTTAAGATCATACTAGTAATATACCTAGAATTCACTGTTGTAACCATTGCTTTAATAGACAGTAGAGCAGACATAAACTATCTTAAGGAATGACTAATTCCTACTAAATATTTTGAAAAAATAACTTAGTCATTAAGTAAGACTAATGGTTCAAAATTAAATATAAAATTTAAACTTTTGAATGTTTACATTTGTAATCAAGGAATTTGTATTCATACTACTTTTATGAATATAGCAAATTTAAATCAATTAGTAATTTTAGGAATACTATTTTTATCTATGAATGAAACCATAGAAAGAATAAATTCTAAAGGAGTTTTAACTACTTTAAATGGACAACAAATATTATTTGAGTTTATAACTCTACCACAAATAAAAGTGATAAATCAAATAAAAAAAATTTAATTAATAAAGAGAATCAATTAAGTTCTTGAAAAAAATACATAAAGGTTTTAAGTATATTTGATAAACTAAACTCTCATGAATTTAAAATTAAATTAAGAAAAATTGAAAATCAAATAACTAGAGAAATATCTAATTTAATCGTACCTTTTGACAGGTATAAAACTGCTTTCATAGTACCTTTTGAACATTACGAATGAAATGTTATGCCTTTTGAACATACAAATGCTCCATCTGAATTTGTAACGCCCCAAAAACCCCCGTGGGTGACATTACATTCTAACAACCATTTACCGTATGAGAGCATTAAGTAAAATTCATCACGACGAAAGTTTCATTCATCAACCATTCATATTTTAACAAAATTTGGGCAGAGTCTCCTTTGTACGGGGAGCTCTACCCAAAACACAACCTGTACAATTATATTACAATTGACCACACCGGGTCCACATATGCATAACTATTGACCACACCGGGTCCATTTTTCCATCATAAAATAAACTTGCATTCATCATATGTCATATCCACACTATCATCCCAAATTAATAGGTCTAATCTTGGCCTTTACATCTCCAAAATGTAATAATATAACGCAGCGGAAATAACAGAAATGAACTAGAGTTCAAAAGGATATTCTAAGCATAATCTAGTCTAGAACAAAATAAAAGTGTCGCTCTAAGCGTCCACCTCGGGATCCACATCCCCGTCAAGCGGAGTCTTCCAATGGGTGGGCTCCTCGGCTCCTAACTCCTCCTCAAGTGTGAAATCTGAAAAANTCTTAAAAAAATAAAATAGATGACGGACGTTCTAAGGGGCTGTTTGGTAAGAGGGTATGGAGGGCTTGAGAAGATGAATTTGGGAGAAATAGTTCAAAGGACTCTTAAATCCCATGTTTGAATCACAAATTTAATCATAAATTATCAAACCCGGCTCGTAATTAGCTCGGATATTAAACTCATGATCATGAATTTCGTTAAATCTAAAGGGTGAGTTTTGAAAGATAAATTAAGGGGTTAAGAATACAAAAAATAATTGTACCCTTAATATAAGTATAAATTAAATTGATCTAGTGGTGAAATAGTCATTTATAAGATTTATAGTAATTAACAATCATGATATATAGGTCGAATCTAGGTGTAAATATTATGTTGTATATCGAACATAAATATAAATTAAATATAATGTTGCATCATATTTTTATAAAGAAGAGATTGAGTTTAAAAAAATTTGAAAAAATTAATTCAAACCATTCTCAAAAATCATTCCAACAAAGTTGTAAGAATCTTCTACTATCGAAATTTACCCTAACATTATGTCTGCTGCTACCCAACTAGTTAACTACCAACCGACAAGACTGTCCACTTTTACAACTTGCGCAGGTGGAGGTGGATCGGCTTATTAAGAATAAGTTGGCTTATTATTCAAGCCCTATAAATAAGTCAATCAGCAAATTAATGCACATATCAATATATCTGACACAGTGTGTGTGAGTCACTTGAGAGTCGGAATTCGATGGAGGAAGAGCGCAATGATACGAAACTGCCGCTGTTGGATGGGTGGAAGCTCAGTGGGAGCGGGCGCCGTGGCCGACTCAGTCGCCGGAACTCGGTGAACTCGCTCAGAAACGATTTTATTGCGAGACTCCCCGATAAGGTCCGTTCCGTGGTTGATCTCGAGTCCTTCTCTCTTCACGATCTCTCCAAAATCCCTGACCTAACCCAAGGTCTCTCTCTCTCTCTCTCTCTCTCTCTCACACACACACACACACACACACACACAAACGTATGTAAAGATTGACTCGCAGAGTTATCAGGAGGATCCAATTGTGCAGATTTGGTTACAGTTAAGTGCATGTGGCTACGGTTTATTTTCTGATTAGAGAAAAAAGAAGAGAAATTTATCCTTCTCGTGGTGAATCGTGATTATATGTAATAGTTACTGTAAGCTTTGATCACAAATTGATGACGAAAATATGAAGTGTTTTCAGTTATAAATGATTGACAAACTTCATTTTAGCCTTTTATGGTTAGTATTGGCACATCACTCACTAACATTCGACCGAACTGAAGAGAGAGAGAGAGAGAGAGCGCCAGAACGATACCCAACACCCGCACATAATTGTATACACGTTGCGGCCACAAACACCAGTCATTGNGCGCCAGAACGGTACCCAACACCCGCACATAATTGTATACACGTTGCGGCCACAAACACCAGTCATTGGTGGTTGGAAAACGAGCCTCTCTTTCCGAATAACCATCCTGAGTCAATATGGAGTCTTTTATTTTTCTGGTTTTTGTTCAATTGGATTTGAAGGTCTATGACCCAAAAGAGATTTAGCAATTCAAATATGATATTGCTTTGTGCTAATGAGGCTTTCCTTTTTATTCTAAATCAAAAAGAGTTGGGTATTTGATTTTTTAAAGCATTTCTAGTGTGATTTTTTTATGGTTTTCTGTATACCGAGTCTCCACAAGGGTGCATAAAATTGGCCGGGTAAAGGATGAAAATTGTGACTATGCACTTGAATGGTTAGGTAACTATTTTTTAGGGTGACGAGTAATGTGCAGGGGTTCTAACTCTAATCATGTGGTAAAATAAGATTTGCTCATTTTAATGATTCATTTCACTTGATCTTTTTAGGTTAATGTCCATATGTGTATTGTGTCCTTTAATTTAATTTAGGATTTGAGCCAACTGCATTGAGGCATTAATCAGTAGGAATGACATAACCATGGTTATTGGAATTCATACTATACTTTTTATTGATCTTCAAAGAAGCATGTTTATTTCTATTATGCAAGTATTGATCACAATCAATACTAAACATGCTATACTTGATTGAAGTCAATATTTTTGAAGCTTGTAGCAAGTAGATTATCACTACTAAATTTCCAGATCAGTTGCATCTCACATGAAGAGGGACACTCCATGTGCTGTAATATAGTCTACAAACTTCTCCATCTCCCTCTCTCTTACTTCTCTTCTTTTTTTTTTTCCAACTTTACTCTTCCTAATTGTTTGAGTACTTCTTATTTGCAGGAGAAAAGGAATACTATGAGAGACAATTTACAACCTTAAAATCATTTGAGGGAGTTGATTCTGTGGTGACCTCTGAAAGCATTGATGAATATGATGATGAAGAACAAGCCCAACAGGAAAGAGCAATGAAGATATCAAATTATACAAACATCATATTGCTGGCATTGAAGGTGATTTATACCTAATACTTGTTTCACGTTCACTCTACATTTTTGTGATGTGACATTTAATAGGTATGTCCTGAGATTTGTTGGGTTATACACATTTTATAGTTATGTCCTCAGATGGTGTTGGGTGGTGCACATTTGATAGTNACACTTGTTTCACGTTCACTCTACATTTTTGTGATGTGACATTTAATAGGTATGTCCTGAGATTTGTTGGGTCATACACATTTTATAGTTATGTCCTCAGATGGTGTTGGGTGGTGCACATTTGATAGTNACACATATATATATATATCTATATATATATATCTAGCCTCAATGTGAGTGTGAAACCCGGAAAAAATTTTAACTTTTTCTGAAAAAAAACGGCAAAATGGTAATTTGCCATTATAGTGTGGGTTAAAAAAAAAACTGTTATTTTTATAGACCTCGGATGATGAAACGGACCTCACCGTNGTTATGTCCTGAGATAGTGTTGGGGTCGGTTGGTGCACCTGAATTAGACTCTAAATCTTTAAAGTGTAAACAATATTTGTAAGTTATAATATAGCAACATCTCATTTGCCAATGCTTGAACCTTTTTTTAAGTGTTTCGTTAATTTGAACCACGTGTGTATGTTGTTTTGTTGAATAAATCGCTGTTTTCGAGGAAAAAAACAAAGTTTCTATGCAGAACATAACAGGAGACTGTTACTATTATATCAGGATGAATAACAGCAGTACATTTAAGTACCTCTTTATGACATCTTTATAATTTGAACTAACGATATCACTATGTTTTCTGGTTGTCACAATAATCCCTTGCATTTCATGGTGCAGATTTATGCTACCGTAAAAAGTGGATCCCTAGCAATTGCTGCATCAACACTCGATTCCTTGCTTGATCTCATGGCTGGTGCCATTTTGTGGTTCACTCACTTGTCAATGAAAAACGTGAATATTTATAAATATCCTATTGGAAAGTTGAGGGTGCAGCCGGTGGGCATAATAATCTTTGCTGCTATCATGGCTACACTTGGTATGCTATCAAATCTTTGACCAGCCACTACTTTCCAGTTAGATTTCCCAGTGAAAATTTCTTTTTATCTTTGGCTTCTGATCTGTTGCTGGAATAATACATGAAAAAAAAAAAAAGTGTGGTACTTTTCTAGTGTTCTTGGCCACTTGCCAGAACACATTAAAGGCTAAGAAAGAAACGAGATGGGAAAGAGAAAGATAAATAAACAACTGTGGATTGATTATTGTCTAGTAGATATTTTTATGGGGAGTGTGACCATAGTTTGCTTGAAGTTTTAACTTTCTGTAAGATCAGTGTGGTATAGCGCTCAGGCAGCCATTTAGGTGAGAAGGCTAGGCATGATTGCAATTATCAGAATCCAACACTCCAAGCGAGGTGAGGCTAATGAGGCATCACCTAGGCAAGCACCTCATTTGGTTCAACAGGCGCTGGTTTACTTAAACTTCTTCATTGAAGGCAATCTTGGAACTTGAGGGCAGGGTTGTATTTGTAGCAACGGGGTAATAAACGAAAGGGCCCAGCTGGAGCCCATACCTAAATTTAGGACTGAAACCTCAAAGAAGAGAGAGAGACAGATGGTAAGCTAGGTCTAGAATATCAAAGAATAGGAAAAGAAGAACATCGAGTGAAACCTGGAAAGCAAGAAATGAAGCAATCATGAAGTAGAAACTGATGCATGATCCATAGGGGTGCTCTATCTGCCAACCTTATGAATCATCATAAAAGAGTCAGTTGGAATGATCAATCTGCGCACATTGTGATGGATAGCCTGAGCAAATAACATTCTAGTGTTACCTGAAGATTATTATGGCAATAATGATACTGCCTAACCTAGAGTAAGTAAATTCCTGAAGTTCAATGCCATGTTTAGTTAATTTATAAGTAGCTTGTTACTCAGGCAAGTGCTTTTTCATTGCCTTTTGCCTCGGTCATTGGTGGATTCCGATGCCTGTAGAGGGCTTTCACTCTTAACTACACTGCCTATATTATACTGCTATCAACTAATTGGGCTCTCTCCTTTCATGGGCGCTTTTGTACAGAAGGGCTAGAGGTAAACGTATTAAAAAGCAATGTGATATAATGTCAGAGTTTGTTAACATGCCTCTAAATGTGACATGTATGTAAATTATTCAATTGGTCAACAGTTACCTTTTTTTCTTTTTGAATGTGTCGCATTTTTCTCTTCTGATGTAAAAGAACTGCACAGGCTCCAACAACTCCTTTGTTAATTGCTCTCATAATTTCGAACATGTGGGAAGATTGAAACAGAACCATGTTTTGTACATTGTTCTCATGCGACTCAACATGTTATGGGACTTTTTTAATTTCTTAAATATAAACCTGTGTTAATTCTCTCATGTTATGGGACTTTGCACCCCCTCTATGCTTTGGTTGCATGCCCATGTCAGTTTTCTGGTAAACTTGGACTGTGGGATGTGTTTGTAGCAGACCAAAACCAGCAAGGCTCCTTAATTTCTGTACCGCAGGAGCTGAGAGATGTTCCTTCCCCTTGTTAGAGAAGGATACAAGCTGGAAGTGTCCATCTTTTGTTTAGCAATAAGAGTTATCCTTTTGTAGAGTTGATCTGAGTTTTTTTTTTTTGACAAGAAATGGGATTTCATTGAAAGGGGAGGAAAGAAAGCACAAGTTAAGGATACAATGGAGGGCAAGAGATCCTACCACGTACCCTAGTAAAATAAGAAAAACTTTAACTTTCCAGACATAATAGAACTACATTCCACACACTGATCTCCAATCCGAAGTTAATAGAGGGCAAGACATCGTACCAAGTACCCAAGTAAAATGGGAAAAAAGCTTTCCAAATATAATAAAAATGCATTCCACAATCTGAATTTATGCAAAAAAGACAGATATCCTCAAAATCTCTAGACTCTACAAAAAAGAAAAGAAACACTGGCTGGAATAACTCACTCAAGCCAATTGCAATAATACACAACAACGCCAATGCAACAGGACTATGAATCAACTTACTTTGTTATAAACTAAGCCATATTTTTCTTTCTTTCAATTGGCACTTTAGTCTGAAAGATTTTAATATGTTCAAGTTATGCACTGCAATTTACTGAGAAATGTTTATCCACACTCGCACAATCATAATACATCATATTTTAACCTCCTTTATAAAATTAGCACAAGTGCTTTCTTCTATAACTGTATGGTCTGGATGTGCCTTTGATACTGTATATCAAGGTGGCAGCTTAATTATTTTTTGCACTAAACTACACACAGCACACAATCCTTCTGTTTCTCTGGTTTTTTTTTTTGGAAGGGGAGGGGGTTCAATACTATCTTATTTGTAAGGCAGGAATGGTGGATATCTGAATTCTAGGTGTACCCTAATATTCTATGTTTCGACATATTCGGTGAGCTAGCATTTATGCCCTATTTTGAACATTCTATGCCTCTTTCTCTCTCTCACACACAAACCCGCCAAACACATGAATAACAATCCTAACCTTTTTGAATTTGGATGGATACCTGAAGAAATGAAGTTCTTGTGATATATTAGCTTTTTTTTTCTTTTTTTCTTTTTAGGATTTCAGGTGTTGATTCAGGCCGTGGAAGAATTAATTCAGGATGAACCTCCTGGAAAGATGACGTCAGATCAATTGATATGGTTATACTCAATTATGATAACTGCTACTGTTGTNACGAATCCCAGGGTCATGGGTCATCGCAATCTCAGACTTCAGTGGAGCAACCACAGACGCAGTATGCTCCTCACTACCCTACTACGGGTCAAGGTAGCCAGTACCAGTTTCAGGGTGCAGCACAAGGCCCTACTATTTCTCGTGCAGGNTGGTGGATATCTGAATTCTAGGTGTACCCTAATATTCTATGTTTCGACATATTCGGTGAGCTAGCATTTATGCCCTATTTTGAACATTCTATGCCTCTTTCTCTCTCTCACACACAAACCCGCCAAACACATGAATAACAATCCTAACCTTTTTGAATTTGGATGGATACCTGAAGAAATGAAGTTCTTGTGATATATTAGCTTTTTTTTTCTTTTTTTCTTTTTAGGATTTCAGGTGTTGATTCAGGCCGTGGAAGAATTAATTCAGGATGAACCTCCTGGAAAGATGACGTCAGATCAATTGATATGGTTATACTCAATTATGATAACTGCTACTGTTGTAAAATTTTGCCTCTGGATTTACTGCAAAAACTCAAGAAACGACATTGTCCGTGCGTATGCAAAGGTGTTTCAAACGATATTTATTTTAAGTGTATTTCCAATCATTTTTCCATCCTTTTATCTTCTCATTTTCAGTTGTAATCCTTTTGGGGGGTCTGTTTGCCAGGATCACTATTTTGATGTGGTGACAAATGTAGTAGGATTACTTTCAGCCATTCTTGGGGATAAGTTCTACTGGTGGATTGACCCTGCTGGTGCCATTGTCCTTGCAATTTACACGATCTCAAATTGGTCCGGAACCGTTCTGGAAAATGCAGGTAGCTACTGCTTGCTCATCAACATTGATTTGAATTGATCATTTATTATTTGATCAAAGTAAAAGGTAGGAAGTATGCAAAGAACCTTAATCCTTTATATTTGAGAATTTTCGGTGTCAAAACTTTCTTTAGCAGTTACATGCTGTTACAACTCACCCAACCTTTTTGTTCATGAGCAATTTTTACCCCCTACACAATTATAATTATGGGTTATTTATCATTTTTGAAGTTTCTGTATGGCTGGTCCTTCATAGAAAGATGACTTATAACTTGTGTTCTGGAAGTGTTAGTGTCATGATGTTTGTCAGAGGACCATTTAAAGAGTCATCNCTCCTACACAATTATAATTATGGGTTATTTATCATTTTTGAAGTTTCTGTATGGCTGGTCCTTCGTAGAAAGATGACTTATAACTTATGTTCTGGAAGTGTTAGTGTCATGATGTTTGTCAGAGGACCATTTAAAGAGTCATCTTGTTGCATTATATGAAATTGTAAATGATCTGATTTTTACATGGTTTGGGATCTTGTTGGTTGGACTCTTAAATTTAGTTTTTTCTAGGTTGATACTAAATGTATTCTTTGATTGATGTTCTTCCCTGAATATAGGGAGAGGTGGGTTGTGGTGTCCACCCATAAATTACCCAAACATCCTTTATTTTTTCCACTTTAACCTCAGTACCTCACATAATTTTGTGCACTTAACTGTATTTAACCACCCTTTTGACTACTCATAACTTCCATATCTCTCCTCACTCACATATTTCTCTCCTTTGCTAACTCCCTATTTTATCTTTTTTTTTATATCACGCACACGAATAATCTTGTGCAGGAGCCGCTAGTTTAATAGGAGCACTGGCCATTTAGGGAATAAAATGTGCATTGTTTCCCTTCAGGCAGTCGGAGTGGTCTCATTTTTTGTCAGATTTCAACATGTACTTAAAGCTGAACCCATCATCTGCCGCTATCTAACTTCAGAATGTTATGGGAAAAGAAAGTGAATTTTTATTCAGTCTAACATGCCTCATGTAACCTCCCCCAACCCTCTAATTCACTACCACTAATTTCAGTTTTTTTAAGAAAATTATTTATATCACCCCATAAATTACAATAATTCTCTACCAAATATCCCAGGTGAGGTGGTGGGGGACTGGGTAGTGTCGGAGAGAGATTATAAATCAACTGTTCCCCTTGGGTCTGCCACTTGGTGTTGATCTATGTGCATCTTCAGTTAGCATAAAAACCACTTGGCTGAATTGCATCTGAGTTTCCAGATTTGGCAATACTCAACTTGGCATTATTTTTTTAAATAATTCAGGTTTTGTGATCCAAAGTTGATGATATATTCAGGCATACTTGACAATGCTTTACACTGCACCTCCTCCTGATATTCAAGTCTACGTGTTTTAATCTAAGATGTGATTTTTGTTGCAGTGTCACTCATAGGACAATCAGCCCCTCCTGAGGTATTGCAGAAATTGACATATCTTGTCATAAGGCATCCACAAGTTAAGCGTATTGACACTGTCCGCGCTTACACTTTTGGCGTTTTGTACTTTGTAGAGGTTAGTCTGGCTTTCTATATTGATTCTAGAGAGTGCTGGCAAATGCATAGGTTTTTTATAGTTATATGATTTTAGTTATACACATTTAGAAAGTCCTATGTTTTAACAGTTAGTGAGTGAAATTATTTTTTTGGCCAAATAGGTTGACATTGAACTCCCAGAAGAGTTGCCTTTGAAGGAAGCACATGTCATAGGAGAGACCCTACAGATAAAGATTGAGAAACTTCCTGAAGTTGAACGTGCATTTGTTCATATTGATTACGAGTGCTATCACAAACCAGAGCACTCTGTACTTATTAGGCTGCCTGACAGTGAGCCTTGATGTTTGAGTTCACTATGTACACACCAAAACCCTTTTTCAAAATCCTCATTCCGGCTATAATTTGTTTTGCCATCCGGCAGAGGAAGGGGCGGGTTGCAGACGGTATAATAACCACCTGTTCTTGAGGTTTGCCCATGAGAAAATGTGATGCTTGATGCTTTGGAAAATGGTAGCGGCGTGCCACACGGGACACTACCATATTGGAGATCATAGGATCAAGTCATGCTAAAGGTAGAGAGTTTTCTTATCTTTCTTTTTTTGGGGTGTTTTGTTTTCTGTTTTTGGAGTGTAAATCAATCATAAACATCAATATTTTATGCTGTAATGTGAAGACATGGCCTATCAATGTAGAAACTAGCCTTGACTTTTAGAGGTGATTGCAATGTGGCTTGGACAAAGGTTGTTTCCTAAAATATAGGGCAACTGCTAGCAGGGGTCAAAATCCTCCTCGCTACCCCCCCACCAAAACAAAAAAAACAACTGCTAGCAGGGCGCTCGGTCGGTGCTCCTTTCTCAAACCAAAACAATTCTAAACGTTAGGGAAGACCACCTAAACAAACCGATCGAAAGGGACTCCCTTTTTCAATCCTTATTTTAAAGAGTTATATGAAATGAATCCGACATTGGTGTTAATGAGTTTGAGATGGAGATTTTTGACATGGTTAGTTAATTATGTCCTGTTTGGTTGACATATTTAATAAATCAGCCGTGATCAATTTTTTAACATTTTTTTTTTGGAAGGCAATTTTTTTTTTTTTTTTAACATTAAACCTGCATAACTTGTTTATGTTACAATGGATATAACCAGTGGCGCAAATAGGACTCATTAAAAAGAAGTTCATATAACATTTTGTCGTTTTAATGCAATATACATCATTCATATTTTAGATACAAATATGGAAGTTGACATTTTTTTTTTTGGATAATCTATAATGTATACCTTTAAAGTATGCATTTATATGGTCCCTCAAATTTCAATTGAAACAATTACATTCTTAAAGTTTTAATCGAGTTTCAATAAAATTCTTTCATCTAAATCTATTAATTTGTTTCAACGAAAGGGTGTCACTAGATTTACCTATAAGGGTATATTTGTCTAAAGAAAAATATGTGTCTCAAATACATTGGTACTTCTCTCTCTATATTTCACAGTATTTCTCAAATTTTCATTCTGTAGTTTTCTTTTTTAGTCTATTATCTTTTTTTTCTAAAAATCAGATAAAATAAAATAAGATTTTTTAGCCTACGCTACACACATAAAAAAAAAATTTACAGGACAAATATAATTTTTTACAAAAGTCATGTATTAGTCGTAGAAAGGTCATTTTGTCATAATAAATTAGTTAATTTTGATGCAAGGATTAAATTAAAATTCAATTAAACCTCTACGAATTTGATTTTTAAAATTAAAATTTTAAGGGCTAAATAAGAATTTAGTGCAAATTTTAAGAGTGTAAATTATAATTATTTTATTTTCCAACCGAGGAAGATCCCTCCCCCAGTGGAGAAGCAAAGAGCATCGTGGACTTGTGATGCACACAAAGGACAAGTTTGACGATATAGACATGTGTAAGATTGACATTTGCTTTTTGAGTTTGCCAAATTAGCCATGCAAGTTGACTTTTGGTTTTGCTTCTAGAGCACATTCCCCTACTTTGTATAAAATATTTTATTTTTATTTTCCCATTATATTTGCCTCATAGAACTTTTACCAATTATAAAACTTAGTGTTCATATGAGATATTATTTAGTTTAGTTACATATATACTTCATATTTTGTTTCATAGATTTTATGCAAATTTTCATCATCAACATTTTTTCACGTGTAACACATATGAATTGACACATTTTTCTCACAAATATGTGCCATGCCATATTGAAGACAAAAAAATAAAAAGAAAAAAAGAATAGCCCCATTTACGTGATACATTTGATTCAA